TTGTCACTTTCTTTAAATAATTAATAGAAAAATTAGGATAAATATCTCACCTGGTTTTCATTCCTTTTGTTTACAGGTCAGTCACCATGCCCTTCTTCACCATCTCAAGTCTGGGGAATAGAATTCACCATCTAAAAATTGAAAGAACTCTACACAACACATTTATAGGAACGTTACTGCTTCTAAAGCACAAAAGATTTATTTTAGTCCTTATTTCATACAACCAATCACTTCTACATAAATGTTTTGCTCCTGTTTTGTTATCAAAAGGTTTTATTCATTTTTACCATGCAAATCATAGTTCAGTCGTTGAATTTCAGTCATTTATCTCATTTGTTTTCATTTCATTCTGCAAGTATACAGTATGATATGGAAATTATTACATTTACTACGTATTAAATACTCAAAACCAAAGAATAAATATTAATTTTTATTTAGAATTTAGTAAAACAAATTACCCTAGCTCTCTAAAGATTAATTGAATTGCCATGTAGTCATGGTGTTTCTGTTCATTGAGGAAGGAGAATTTATCCTCAAAAATTAAATTGCTTTCTTATGAAGCTTGGAGTGATATTTGACAAGACTGTTATACAGGTATAATGTAGTAAGAAATGCAAAATATCTCAATTGTACAATAAAAAAATATACTCTCTATCGATTGTCACTGTTGCTATAGAGACGGATCACTCAAATGATTGACTTCCTGATGAATAAACAGAATGGACCAAAAGACAAACTCTCTCACTGATATATCTTAACCCTTTACACCCTAACATCAGTATGCACATTCTCCACACTGTCCTTAATACATTTCCTGAGGTGCTGACAAGGAGAATTTGTTTACCAATCAAAAGCCTCTTTCATTGGTGATCATTTCCTTTATTCTCATGACCTTAATGTGTGATTCAGGGATGATATTGTAAGGAGAAATTTGATGCTAGTCACTCTTAGGGTTTAAAGGGTTAATGACTTACTGCCTGAATAAATGACTGACCAGCAAACTCACTCAATGATACACACACTGACTGACTGACGAATAAAGGGGGTAAGTTTCTGCAGGAACTGTAGCGCTGTGTCTATGAAGGAGGGGGATAACAAGATAATTTGGTTTTATCAACTGAGTTGATAATGTGAATTTGCCACTGTGAAGAGTTTTTTAAAGCTGATGTTTTGAGTGTTAGCCCAGATTGAAAAGGATTGACTGACTGTCTCACTTGCTTACTCACTCACTGATATACCTTATTGACTGACTGCCTGTTTGACTGATGGTGTAACTGATTGACTGACTGATTGACTGACTGTCTGAATGACTGATTGGCCGACTGACTGACTGACTGAATGACTGACTGTCTGCCTGACTAATTGGCTGACAGACTGATTGACTAATTGGCTGACCGTCTGCACACTTGGTAAGTAGCTTGGTATATGGTCACATAAACGTGTGTCGGCATCATCTGCCTCACAGATAAACAAAACATAGCTTGACGGACAAGCGAAGATAAAACGGTCAGATCTACACATAACATGTACTCACTTTCCTCTTTATCATTCTGTGTACATAGCTAGTTCGAGCCAGAGATATTTCGGACCCTGAAGCTCCCGAATAATTGCATCCACACACCATATTTCTCCTTTAATCAGCGTTGAGTTCTTATAACACATTCGGATTTCGGAGTCACAAATATGATCTGCACACTACACAACTTCATCCTACGAATTCTTCTGCCATTTTAAAACCAGCACACAAACTTTACATTACATGAAACAAGTAGCATGGTAGGAGATATCCGCTGTTCAAAAATATTTCAGACCATCAACCTTTAGCAAAATGAAGCGGATCAGTAGTCATGAGGACCTTCTAAAGATTGTGGCTCTACACTGACATCCACTTTTTTGTTGCAGAATGAAACTTTCAGGCCACCGTACTTTATAACTACAGTAGTTATTTGTTATTACAATTTAGGGAAACTCTTTGTTTTTAATTAAATTTTCAGATTTTTACGAGATTTCTTCTCATAATAGAATATACGTCATGCTGAACCAAATAGAGAAGCCTTGACAGTGCTCTGTTCTGTTGCAAAGCACGCAGGAGGCGGCTAGAGCACGAAAGAAGTGTAAGGAGAAACACGAGACGTAGCCTCAGAGATTTTTTTCGGTTCTCCACATTTCCTTTACGCACCATTAAGTGGAACTTTTCAAATTTAATCCCGATCTCTAGAAACATTTTGTGGAAGATGGGGCTTCGATCCTTGTTCTGTTCGATCCATGGTTTACACCCAGTTTTTTTACATTGTGGTGCAATACGTATGATAACAACAACTTGGAGAAATAAAATTCCAAGAGGTCGGCCATAAAGCCGTGGAATAGTAGACCCCAGTTTGGAGGGGAGGGGTAGTGACAACCTTAAGGAGAGAGAAATGAAGGTGTAAGGCTTAATCATGCTGGCTGCGGTAGTTTAAAGGGTGGATAACGCTAACCACTGAATGAATCTCTATCCGTTGGATAGTGCAGTACGTTTTGTCAACGCACATATGCTGGATAGCGATTTATCCATTGGATAGAGTTATCCGTCCCTCGAGCAACCAGGCCTTAATGATTTGCACGTGGGAAAACACCAGATAAATAGTGCTAAAAAAAAGTAAACAATACAAGATTCATATACAAGGTTCATAAACTTGTTATCAACTCAAGATTGTGTTTCAACCGAAAGACAAAGAAAATTTTTCATTATCATATTTTCCGCCTAGACATCAACCAACAGTGAGATTTTTGTTAATAAAATATGTGCAATAAATTCCACCGGTTCCCATCTATATCAGTAAATTATCTAAAAGATTTGTGGTCTACTGCCCGAAATAATATGGTCTCATATAGCTCCGTCTTCATTCTGGAAAAAAAATTAAAGATCATCAAATGAATATAAGATGCACGTCCGTCGCATTCTAATTCTACGATTGTAAACTGAAAATTCAAATTCCTTAGGATATTCGCACGCAATTGATTATAGATGGCTTCTTTCCAAGCGGATATGGTAAATATGTATGTAATTAGACTGTTTAGCTTTTCAGAATCGACCGAACGTGTGCATGCATGGTAATTGAAAAACAGATTACATTTATGTTGGTGGTTTCTTTCTTAAAATATCTCCGTCTTAAAGCACTCACGCACTTTCCTTTTTTGAACCTCACAATTCTTATTTTCTGTGCTGCATTCTTTAATTTCTACGCTCCTGCCTTAGTTTGGTACAAAGTAGACTCAGAGACTTGTGGTATGAGTCCAAACGAGGTTGTTGCAGTGATGAGAAAGCTCGCCTTACATACCTAAGAACCATATTTGATTCCCTTAATAATCTATTGGCTTAACATACTCCAAGGAGAAACTACCTGCGGGTCTTCCAGCTAACCTCCCTGCGCGAAAAGTAATATCCCACTTCCACCTGGCGCACTTTGTTATGACAAAATTTCGCCTTTTAATTCAATTGAATAATTATCTTTATGTATACAAGCCTCATAAAAGTTGTTGTTTCGGCCAATTCCTTCATATTTAAACAAAATACAAATTATTGTGTCTCCTCAATGCAAACAAAAGATAAAAAAAAAAAAAAAAAACTTGAAGACATCCTGTACTGAAAAGTTTTTGAATGGCGCAGTGCAAATCTTTGAAGACGCTATCAAAATTATGGATTTGAAAAATAATTACAAATATAGGTTGTGTGGTTTTTAATCACCATGCCAGCAGGGCCGGATGATTCCCAAAAGCTGTTATTACAGGAGTTGATTAGAGTGTCACCATGGCATCTTTTGGTTAAAAAAAGGTTGGGCATAAACAGAGTTCTCTATTTCTCTTGGTTACATGCACATCAATAAAGTATCCAGGAACTGAGCAATATTAAACTGAATTTGTGTGATTAAACGTATCACCTTGTGTTAAGGACCTCAAAGCTGAGTTCATGAGCCAACAAGAGCGTATCAGAGCATTTAAGTCAATCTTTGTCAACAAGTACGTTGTTTTTTAAACCAATCAGAATCAACATCGAACAGGGGAAATATGAAAGCGTGTTTTCCTTTTTAAGGGAAAAAAAATTTAGTTCTTAGCTTAACTGAGGTAGGCCAGAGTTTAACCATCATTATCTTGTATTTGAATTTTAAACATTTAAACAAACATCACGTCATTTCTTCATAAAGTATTTAGAAGCAAAGTTCTGACTTCGTTATTTTGTTACTTCGTGCAGTTCTTCAATAATTTTCTTAATTCATATTGTTAAGTCAAGTCTACCTATGGAGTTTAATAACAATGGCAATGCACGCGCTAATAATCAGACAGTGCGCGCAATAACTTCAAAACAGGTGCAGTAACCATATTCAAAACTATCACAGAGTAAATTGCGGTCTTGAAACATCCACTTCCCTTCAACTAAATCTCGAGACCAGCGCCCAACATGATTTGATTCGTTTAGTTCAGATGGGCAAGTAAACAGAACACTGGAATTAGCTGTTGTTTGGAGGACAATTCTGTGAGTCAGTACAATCCCCTCTATTTCTCATCTGACTGACTGGAAAGCTGAACTAAGTTTTTTAGTCCAAGTCTTACTTCGCAGAACCGACTGTGTTAGACAAAAATATATTGGTAAGGAATTCCTTTTATCAACGACACTTAACAGCAATCGACTCGGTTATTTTTTATGAAACCATATTGTACCTCATTCTCTCTTGTCTGAAATCAGCACAAGAGGTGCAGAGAATGATAAGATATTTACAATAAACAGGTTCTTGATAGCGATTATTAGAAATGTATATCTCTCCTTCGATTTCACTTTTGTCATTTTTAATTTTTAATTTTTTAACTGTATTTTTACTCCTTTTTTTTCGCTATTTGAATTTGAAGTTTTAGTGGACCACAATGAGAACTACTGGTTTTACCAGTAATTGTGTTATCCAATAAAGTCATTATTTTTTTAAATTTTTTTAAATTTTTTATTTATTTATTTTTTATTCAGCAGGGAAGTGTCTTCATCAACGACTCACATCTTGGTGAAAGATCATGGTATTTCTTTCAGCACTATCTCTGTTGTCGTTAATGTTCCTCAAAGTTAGCACTCAGCAATGCGGCATAGACAGTTACTCAGTCTATCAAAGGATGCTCAAGGGCCATACGTTTAAGACAGTAAAGGCCAGACCACTGTCACCCGACTGTAAAGAGGCCTGCACAACTGACTACAGGTGTCAAAGCTACAACTACGATTGGTCTCAGAGCATATGCGAATTGAATAACCGAACCAGGGAGGCAAGACCTAATGACTTTGTTAGAAATGAAAACAGATATTACGTGCGAGAACCACATAAAGGTACAAACCAGATAACGTTGACATAAATAATTTACGAAGTAGGCGCTCGAAGAGAAAGCGAACAACACGCGTGTAAGGAAGAGACAAGCAGTGAGAGACCTTCAAGCGCGACCTATCGTTCGTACTTGCTAGTCTGAAACGATCGAGCTTGGTTAAATCTAGATTACGGGTAGTGCCGCCTTTTCGGTAAATCCCGTCGCACGAGTTCGTCGGCGAAGTCCGTCGCGCAAGGCGCCTCTCCCCCAGAGTTCCGCGCAGCGCGTTAACATCAATTTTTTCAACTGATTTTTTCCCTTTTTATTCACGCGAATACCGAGTAAAGTCGAGAGTGATGGAGTCTCCATTCTCGAATAGAGTTGTCAGCGATGTTAGCACTCAAACATTGAGAGTGAGCTTGTGTTTCTTTGACCGCAAATTTTGTGTTTTTAGTTTCTCTCGGTTCCATTCCTGAGTTACCAGCTGACTCATGTGCAGAGATTAAAGCGGACGAAGGAGGTCACGCAGTCAGTGGTAGCTACTGGCTGGATCTCACAAAATCTGGAAACTCTACTTTGGTACTCTGTGACATGACAACTGGAGGTTAGTACTTCAAATCCTTAATCCTTACACTCCCAGAACAGGTTGAAAAATAACTTCTCCCTGAGATCCATACATTATCTAGCAGGACAGAATATAACAGTTGTTTATTATGATGTGACACAAAATTCTCTCATCCGTCTTACAATGAATCCTATAGCAACTAGATAGGAGACTCTGATAAGTAATAGGCCAGAAGTAATTATTGCAATAAAAAAAGACACCATCAATTTTTCCCAAGTCAAACACAACCAAGATAGAAAGCAATTTTCAATAGAGTTTCGTGAGCAATCGGGGATTTCTTCTTATATATGCTCAACTTCGTTATGTGATTGGTTCAGAATACCAGCGCCACTTTCTGAACCAATCAGATTCAAAGCTAAAGTAGGTCGCCACTTGGCAGTTTGGTTTGTTTTTTCTTTGAGTTCTCGGTGTCTCCTTTTTGCTTTTTTTACCTTTTCTGACTGACAGTGGTGATTATTTTGGTTTTGGTTTAACGACACTTAAGTGAAATGGGCTCCAAAAGGACGAGAATTGCGTTACAGAACACTTCCCCGGGAGGTTTACCGATAAACCTCGCTTTGGTATGCTCGACCCAGTTTCCTCGATTAACGGCCAAACATCTCTGATTAGCAACTATTCACCGAAGTGGAGGTGGGTAGTGGAGGTTATTTACCGAGTTGCGACGTAGCGAGGTTAATATCCATTGCTAGTCACCAACCCTGAGGTAAATAGTTGTTTTAGCATATACTAAAACAGTGAGACTGAATATAGCACAAAAAGATGATTTTTGATCAAATAATCTGAATTGCTGTCGACTATGGCCTTTGTATCCTAACGTAACGGTTAAATTTTTTAACTGTTTATTTTTCAGTTGCTGACTTCTGCAGCGATAATCGGTGTGTTAACAGTGCAACCTGTGTCAACCGTAAAATGAACTACACATGCTCGTGTAAAACGGGGTGGACTGGTAGCTACTGTGAACGAGGTAATTAATGAATGGTACAGACCATGTCGAAAAATACCATAACACTCTTTTATACACAATTACGGTTTCATTGCCTTCGGGATAGGAAGGGCTATTTAAGTATCCATTTCAGGAATGGCAAAATGAAATTCGGAGCTCATGTAGAATTTTAGAGCATAGAATTGCCCGTGCATTTTTAGCAAATGTTATGAAGAGGCAAGGGGCATGCTTCGATCAGACACGTCAATTAGCATTCAATTGAACTACTCGTGAATACGTACGCGAAGAAGATATAAATTCCAAATGCTAAGGGAATAAACGAGACACGAAACACTCATAGGAAAAAGGTTTACATCAACGTAATTATAAGACACACTGCTAAAAGGAAGTGAAATGTAACAAAAATTTTAATTGAAGCTTCAGATTTTTTTCCCATTGTTCCATGCTTGTGACAAATAAATTCAAGATCGTTCTACTTGAGTTATTTCACCTTTCACTCAACATTTAACGTTAATGGTGACGTCATCTAAGCATCTGTCCTCCATAGGTCATAAGTAAGAACCAATCAAAATTCGTGTATAATGCAGCTTATCATATAAATCCCCATAGATGTGGACGAGTGTACTGAGATACCTGGTGCCTGTCCGGTTCAGTCGGCGTGTGAGAACTCATTGGGTTCTTACCATTGCATCTGTCAGTCTGGTTGGAGGAATGTAGGCCCCCATAATTGCTCGGAAATTGAAGAGTGTCTTGAGGAATTCAATCACAGCTGCCCACCAAAGTCCGACTGTATCATCAAGGGTGCAAACAATTCTTACGAATGCCTGTGTCACTTCTGCCACTACATGTCTAATGATACAAGAACATGCCTTCGTAAGTATGGAAATGAAGTCCAACTCAGGACCTAAAAATCACCGCAATTGCTAAAATAAAATGGCTTGTTTTACAGGATTCGATTCGCTTGAGATCCTCATTTTTGGTTTGCTTCCGGTTAATACTGTAGGTCGAGAGGTATAGGTTCAAGACTTAGCTGAGTCAATGCCTTGAGTTGTTAAGTGCATTACTTAATTCTAGTTCACAGTGCCTCTCTCTACGCAGGAGTATACATGGATACAGGTGAATTGTCATAGAGGCTTGACAAATT